CACCTTACTGGTAGTCTTGGGTTAAAGCTGCTTGCCTTCTTGCTCTGTTAGAAGGTATTTTCCTGTCATTTGCTCCCCTCTGGACTGCAAAATGTTTTCCCAGGTGGGTCCAGTGGGGATGGCTGGTTGAACCCAGAGGCTCCATCCACCTTTGCTTCCTTAGCTGTCAGTTGTATTTCCTTTTTGTCACTGGCACTGGGTTCAGGGTCAATTCTGGAGTAAAACTCAGAGTTAAGGTTACCTATAGGAAAGGGAGCAAACCTAGAGAGAACAAACTTGTGAGTTACAAATAGAAGGGCTTTGAGGGTGTTGCTTTCAGGTTTACTGGGGTGGAGGGTGGCAGAAAGTGGCCTAGGTAACATTGGATACCCTAGGCATTCTTTTTTTTTTTTTTTCTCCTTCATCACCCAGGAGTCAATCTGGGGACAATGGCACAAACTGGGGACTGAAGAGCTCACCTTGAGGGCCACGACGGCTCACCCCGAGCCGAGGGCAGCCCACCCTGGGCAGAGGGCCGTGACGGCTCGCCCCGAGCCGGGGGCCAAGGGCAGCCTGACCCGGGCAGAGGGCCACGACGGCTCACCCCAAGCCGGGGGCCGAGGGCAGCCTGCCCCTGGCAGAGGGCCGAGGGAAGCCTGCCCCGGGCAGGGGGCCGCGACGGCTCGCCCCGAGCTGGGGGCCGAGGGCAGCCCGCCCTGGGCAGGGGGCCACGACGGCTCACCCCGAGCCGGGGGTCTAGGGCAGCCCATCCCGAGCAGGGCAACACCCCCCAGGCACTGGCTAGTATACTCCCCCTCCAATTGCCCCTACCCCAGTCTGGTCCCCTCACCTGACTGAGGACTCTGTGGTCAGGGATAGTGTTTCCATTTCCAGCACTGCCACTTTTACCCCCCGCCCCCCCGGTAAGTGGTCATACTATATTTTGAAGTAGGTGTCACTGCCCTCCCCCTTTATATATGATAAAGGGAACCTGAGAATTGTGAACAGACTCCCCCCAGGTCTAACCATCTTTTGGCAGAAGCATTCAACAGAACAAAATATGTGGTGCATTTAGGATGTCGGTCCTCTTGTGCATGCTGCCACTGTTAAGGTCATCAGACTCACAGTGACTTTCAGCAATCCAATGCATAGGTAATCATCTTCTTTGGCCTGTCCAATGCATAGGTAATCATCTTCTTTGGCCTGTGTAATGCGTAGGTAATCTTCTTTGGCCTGTCCAATGCATAGGTAATTGTCTTCTTTGGCCTGTCCAAGGAGACCCAAACCTGCAGATGGCGGTCATGCATCCCATCCCCCACCTCCTACACAGGTGGCCAGTGGGGCGCGTGCCCTCCCCCCCAGCGCAGGAGGGCTGCGGGAGGCACGCGGCCCCCCCAGCACAGGCGGCCGTTGGGGGCGCGCCCCCCCACCCCACCGCACGCTGGTGCGGCCCCTCTTGTGCGGGCGGCTAGAGGGCGCCTGCTTCCCTCACAGCCTCCATCCTGGCTCCAAGAATTCTCTCCAGACCAAGTCCACCTTGCGGCAGTGTGGTGGCTTCACTGTACCCGTCTTGAGGAGGGCCAGTGCCCAGCATCCATCCTGGGTGAGGGAATCCATTCGTTCCGGCTGTGGAAGCCTCATGGAGCTGCAGTGGCTGTGCAGCACAGCGAGGGCTCTGCAGGGGGGTGGTTGGGAGCCACGAGACTTACCCATTTCTCCTTGGGAATCCTTGAATTCCTGTTGTTGAGCCTCGATCTTCACTGAGGGCCAGTCATCAACTGTTTAAGTGTTCAATTATCAATAAGCCGAAGTCCGTGGAAGGCCATAATGGCCCTGCTTTAAGTGGTTCGCTGCTCCCGCAGCTCACCACACTGTCTCTGCCTCTGCCGCCATCTTGGATCCACCATCTTTTGATTTCTTGACAGCTGCTACCATGAGTGTTGACTGTGGATCCAAGTAAAATGAAATAATTTACAACTTCAGTCTTTTCTTCATCTACCACAATATTGCTTATTGGTCTGGTGGATTTTTGTTTTCTTGATGTTACAATGTAACCCACATTGAAGGCTGTAGTCTTTGATCTTCTGCACTTCTTCACTTTCAACAAGCAACATTGTGTCATCTGTGTAATGTAAATTGTTGATGAGTCTTCCTCTGATCCTGTTGCCACATTCTTCTTCACAGAGTCTAGCTTCTCAAATGTTTTGCTTAGCATATAGATTAAATAGATATGGAGAAAGGATATAAATCTGACGCACGCCTTTCCTGATTTTTAAACCACGCAGTGTTTGTTCCCTTGTTTTCAGACAGCTGCTTTGTGGTCTAGGTCTAGGTTTCGTGTGAGCACACTTGTGCTCTGTTGTATTACACAGACATTTATGGGGTGTTGGCTTGGTGCCACTGTTTTGGAGACTTAGGGGCATTTCTCATTTACACAGCAACTTTATGAGACAGTTGTTACTGACCATATTTTACAAGTTAAAAAACTGAGGCACAAGCAATAACAGGAAACAATATGTTCCAGGATCAGTAAGTAAGAGGCAGAATTGGGAAGGCTGGGAGCTGAGCCTGCATGGAGAACACAGCCGGGAAGGACTCAGAGACTGTGAGGGCTTAACTGTCAGTGACTTGTTATCATTGATCAGAACTGCTTCACAGCCGATGCTCCGGTGGGCTTTTAGAGGCTGTAAATTGTGGAGGAGATTGCCCATCGTTTTCCTCCTGGATCCACTGGTGGATTCCAACTGTCTCCTTTGGATTAACAACTCCTTATGGACTTAAATAAGGTGGTGGGGAGAATGAGTTCCCCAAACACCTCAGAACATGGATGATCCTGGAGAATAGACGTTATGTTGAACAAAATAGTCTCCCAAAAAGCCAGTATTGTGTGTTCTCACTTTGATGAAACCACAGACAGTAAATGTCCACACGGCTCTGGTGCTGTCGACCAGAGGAATTCGCACTCTGACCCAAAGTCACCTCTCCATTAGTTCAAATCCAACAACAGTTTCTCAGAAAGAAAATGGACAGTCTCCTCTAATACAACTCACAGCTCTGGAAACCCACCGGCAGGTCAGCTGTGAGTTGGTTCCGACTCGACTAGCTGTGAGTTTTTATGAGAACATTCATTGGTGTGCACCTGATAGTAGGTGTTTGTTATTTATGGTGATGAGGAAAGTAGCACCAGATGAGGGTGAAGTGGACACAGCCTGATGAAGGTAAATGATGGCCCTAACAAAGTGCTCCATTAAATAGGAGCTGTTGGTAATTGCTGTATTATTGTTAGGTGTGTTGAGGCACTTACGACGCGTAGCGACTCTGTGAAGACCAGACCTGAACCTTGTCCATCCTCACACTCTCCGGCACCCTCAAACCCATTGCTGCAGTCACTGTGTAAATGAATAATTGCCTTGGCATATATAACTAATATCACACAACAGCAGACCCCGAAAGAGTATCTGTTGGTTTATACGTATGTATGTCTGTGGGCATGTATGTGTATGTTTTTCAGTTTAATGTAGGTGTTTTCCAGTGCTTAGCATCCCCGTGTACAACAGACAACACTGCCCAGTGTTGTACCAGCCTCACAGTCCTTGTTATATTTGAGTCCATTGTTGTAGTCACTGTGTCAGTTTGTTTCATCGAAGGTCATATGCAGGGGGCTCTGGGAGCCTAGTGGGTAAGGAGTTGTGTATGTAGAGGTATCTCTGTGACCTGCCTGCGAGGCCACAGAACAGATCCTGGGGACTGAGTGTGTGGCCTGGGACCTTTGGGGGCCCCACTGACCCCACTGGGGAGGAGCCAGCTTGTTCTTGAGACTCAAGGACAGAAGCCTTCAGAGGACCTGTCCCTCAGCACTGGTGGGGCAGCGGTGTGGGTGCTGCAGTCAGCCTGGATTCCAGCCCAAGCTCTGCCACTCGCCAGCTGTGTGACCTTGAGGACGTTACCTAACCACTTCCGGTCTCACATTATCTGCTTGTATGTCAAATGGAGATAATAATAGCCTGCCTGGCAGAGTGGTTACAAAGCTGGTAGGTCCCCCGAGGGCTCATGCCAGGGGCAGTAGGCCTGTTCTCTGTCATCTCAGTGGCCCTCACAGGAATAGCTATGATGAAGAAATGGACCACTCAGGATTTGAACTTAGGCCTGCTTCACTTCTGAGCCCCTGCCTCCCATGTCAGGCTCTGTCTGCTACAGTGACATTGGGCACCTCTTGGGAGACTGTAGAGCAGATCAGAGCATCAGGCAGGAGCAGTGGGTGCTGGGGTGGCCTGGGACTTTGAGGGCTGTGATAACCCAGGCTTCGAGGATCCTAATCCTTGGGAGGCCCACACTAGGAAACAGGGGAGGCTGGTGCTAATTGCTCCCACCTCAGTGCTGCTTTTCACATCCCCAAATGTTAGGGAGACAGGAGACTGTTAGGGGAGGTCCCTCCTAGAGGTAGCACTTTCCTTCTTTCTGAAAGTGGTCCTCAAACGTGAATTAGGAAGAACAGCTGAATGAATGGTAGTGCTGAGTGGCCACAGTGCGCACGGGCACGATCTTCTATAGACTAGCCATAGTGACCACCCCCACTTTACAGATGAGGAAACCGAGGGTCTGAGAGGTTAGTTGGCAAAGTCATATGGCTAGTGTATGACTGAGCTGGGCTTCAAATCCAGGAACGAGACACAGGGGCAGCAGATGTGTCATTTGCCTGCATGATTCCTTATGAGTGCTGCTAAGGAGAGAGTGGGTGGAGGAGCCCATAAGGGTTTCTGGTGGAACCTGGGGTGGAGGTGGTGAAGGGTGAAGAGGGTGGAGGGTGGGGCTTTATGCATTAATTCAGAGATTCCCCCCCCCCCCCCCCGCCCCCTTGGTCTGACTCCTGGCCAGGCCCTGTGTGGGACACCATGGTGGCATCAGTCAGCTCTGGCCCTCCCCATCACAGAACTGATGTTCCTGGGGTCCAGAAGGGACTCACCGCTCGCTGGAGCCCCACGCACAGGGCAGGCACTGACGGAGTTGTCTTCTTCCCCCAGCTGGAGAAGGAGCAACAGATACACAGCGTGGACGTTGGCAACGACGGTTCGGCCTTCGTGGAAGTGCTGGTGGGCAGCTCGGCCAGCGGGGGCGGTGAACAGGACTATGAGGTGAGCACCCAGTCAGCTGCTCTCTGCCCCAGCTGCTATCCTTGGCGCCTCCAGGTGCCAGGCCAGGGTGGGTGAGTCACATCTGCTCCCTGTCCTCCTGAGCACCCAAATGAACAGGAGACAAAGGAGACACAGAGCAACAAGCACACGTCTGGGTGGAGATAGTTTGTGCAAACAGCTGGAGGCCCTTGTTTGTTCTAGGGTCTAGTCACTGCTGGGGAGAAACCTTGCTTGCTCCAGTCTCAGGTTCTCACAGATGGCTCGAGAGTGAGACTGTGCATTGTTTGGGGGTGCTTCTGTTAATCATTTTATTTGCAGTGACTCTTTTACAAGGAGTGCCTTTAGCTGCCTTCTGAACATGAAAGGAGCCAGCCAGTCCTCCACTTGCATTCCTTGGATCTTGCTTGTGAGGTCATAGCCAGCCAGCTGATTAATCAGTGAGATATTAACGGGTCAAATAATCCCACTGTGACCATCCCAGTTTACAAGTCTAAGTGAACCACCCACTTTTTACAAGATGTGCTTAGATATTTTTGTGTTTGAAAAAAAAAACAGCTTTTAGTTATCTGACATACAGTAAGATGCATAGACCATAATGCTTAGTTTAAAGGCGTTTTTCACCTATGTAAAACCTAAAACATTTGCTGCTGTCAGGTGATCATGACTCCTAGTGACCCCATGTGTTACACAATAGAATTGCGCCATTGGGTTTTCTTGATTGTGATTTTTGTGGTGGCAGATTGCCACGCCTTTCTTCCTTGGCACTGCTGGGTAGGTTCAGACAGCCAACGTTTTTTTTTACTTTATTTTTTATTTCCATTCATTCATTGTTGCACATTTTTCTCCCTACCTCTCCACCTAGTTTGATTTGCTATGCACCTCTTATTCTAGACTGCTGTCATGTAAATAATGCCTGAGATTATCAAAGAATATCACAAATACCACACACTAGCAAAATCCTGCTAAAGATTATCCAGAAATAACTGGAACAGTGCATTGTCAGAGAACTACCAGAAATACAAGCTGGGTTTAGAAGAGGTTGTGACGTTAGAGACATTATTGCCAAAGTCAGATGGATCTTTGCAGAAAGCAGAGAGTACCATAGGAATATCTGTCTGTGTTTCATTGACTATGTAAAGGCATTTGACTGTGAGGAGCATAACAAATTGTGGCTAACCTTGAGGAGAATGAGAATCCCAGAACACTTGATTGTGATTATGCGAAACCAATACTTGGACCAGGAAGCAGTCCTCAGAACAGAGCAAGGAAATACTACATGGTTCAGAATCAGGAAAGGAGTGTGTCAGGGATGCATCCTGTCCCCATACCTTTTTAGTCTGTTTGCAGAACAGATCATTCGGGAAGCAGGACTTAATGAGGAGGAATGAGGCATCAAGATTGGAGGAAGATTCATCAACAACCTACAATATTCAGATGACACAACTTTGTTTGCTGAAACTGAAGAAGACCAGAAAGAAATGCACTGCAGAAGGTCAAAGACTATAGTCTTCAATTGGGCCAATTGACAGCACCATATGAGATGGAGGCTGTTAGCAATTACAGCTTGTTCAGCTCTACAATCAACAGTCCTACTACCTGCAGTCAGGAAATCAAAAGACAAATTGCATTGGGAAAAACTGCTGTTAGGGACCTGTCCAGAGTACTGAAGAGCAACGATGTCAGTCTAGGGAGTAAGATGTGCCTAATCAGGCCTTTGAAGTTACTTGTTGTACTTCAAAGAGCCGGCCAATGACTGTGACAAAGAATTGATGCCTTCAATTTATGGTCTTGGAGAAGAGTCTTGAACAAACCATGGGCTACCAAGAAAACAAATAGGTCTGTCTCGAAGAGGGTGAAACCAAGTCTCTCCTTGGAGGCTAGGATTTTTAATCTCTGTCTCATGTACTTTGGGCACATGGCCAGGAGAAACCAGTCCTTGGAGAAAGGACATCATGCTTGGATGGGTAGAGGGACAGCACAGGAGAGGAAGACCCCAGATGAGATGGATTGATACAGTAACTGGAGCAGTGGGGGTTGGTGTGTTGGAATTAATGAGACTGGCTCAGGACAGGGAAGGATTCAGAGCTGCTGTACATAGTGTTGCACATAACAACAACAACATGTTCCTTTTAAACAGTTCTTTCCCTAATCTTTTTCAATGCAGTGTTAATTATTTATCCCCTCTTTTCTTAGTTCCCCCCAACCCCCATGTTTATCCTGTTTTACAACAGTGGGGTTATGTAGTATTTATCCTTTTGTGACTGAGATATTTCACTAAGCATAATGTCCTCCGTGGTCACCTGTTTTGTATATTTCATGAGGTTTTTGTTTTTCAATGCTGCATAATATTCCATTGTGTGACTATACCACAGTTTCTCCATTCATTTGTTGATGGGCACTTGGGTTGCCTCCATCTCTTTGCTGTTGTGAACAAAGCAGCAATAAACATGGGTGAGCATATATCTGTTTGGGTGGCAGTTCCAGTTTCTTTAGGATATATTCTCAGTAGTGAAATTTCTGGATCAAATGATATTTCTATTTCCAACTTTTTGAGAAAGTGCCATACTGCCTTCCAGAGTGGTTGCACCATTTTATAATCCCACCAATTTATAATCCCACCAACAGTGGAACCAACTCATAGCTGACCCTCCAGCAGGTTTTCAGGCTGTAAGCTGCACGAGAGGGGATTACCCATCTTTCTCCCTTCTAGCAGTTGGAGGATTTGAACTGTCTGCTTTTGCAGTGCAACTCTTCACCCACTAGGCCACCAGGTCTCCATACTTTTAAGGTTAGTAATTGAGCACAAACCTTGAGATCGTTGGCACATGTATATACTTGTGCAATTATTTCCCAAATAAAGGTGCCCTTGTGGTCATTCTCCCACCCCCTGCTCAAGACAACCACTAAGCTTTCTCTGTATACATAGTTCTGCAAATTTCCATCCATGGAATCACTCAGTATGTACTCATTTTTGTGCATCTGGTTTCTTTCTTATTTTGTGATTAATTTTGTGCTGTTGTTGGGAATGTACACTGCAGCCCGTATACCCACTCAGCAATTTCCCCCTGTCCAGTGCTGTGACAGTGATGACATTTTTGAATTGTGCATCCATGCTCCCCTCCACTTTTGAGTTGTCCTTCCTTCATGCACATCGGTTCCCTGTGCCCTAAAGCTCCTGTCCAGTCTTTGGAGTTGCTGTTTGTGTTTTGATCCCATATAGACTGATCGTAAAGAAAGGAGAATGCTCAAGACAGACATTCTTTACTAGCTAAGCTACACTTTTATTTGGTTTAAAGAAGGCTTTAAAAAAAAAGAAGGCTTCAGGGATACTTTTCTTTAAAGATTCTTTCAGGACAGCATATGGCTCCAGAAGATAAATCCAGATGCCGTGAGATCCTGAATGTCCCCTCTTCCTCAAGAGTCTTCTATGGAGTCTTTGATCAAGATGTTTGGTAGTGGTACCTGCACACCATCCAGTTTTGGTCTCGCGGTAGAGGAGGCAGTTGCCATGGAAGCAGTTGGCCACACATCCATTTCCTCTTCCTATTCCTATCTGGCTTCTTTCCATAATCTCCCCCCACTTCTCTGAGATATGTAATAATGTCATATTTGCATATAAAATACTGCATGTAGTTCAGCTCTGTTCTTGTTTCATAGATTGGCTTCGCAATATTTTTTTTGTTTGTTGTGAAAACAGTTTCTATATATGGTGCTACAAGATCCCTTAGTACAAGCAGACAGTACGTCTCAGCTTTGGAAACTGTACACAACATGTGATGCTTCACAAATTATCCTGTAGTCCTTGTGCAGGGTCTGTGCTGATCTTCTCTGTGTTGGTTCCGTTTCAGTGTCTGCGGACACGAGCATTCAACATCGTCATTTTCAGATTCCTTCATGCTGAAGATAATGTCAGTGTTCCTTCCGCTTTGTTGCTGCGTTTTATTTCTGTTGTCCCTTGCGTGACTGTCCCCAGTTTGTCTCTTCTCTTGATGAGGATTTGGACTTTTTCCTGTTTCTGACGATGATGCATAAAGCTGCTGTGAATGTTCTTGTACGAGTCTCAGTGTGGAAATACATTGTTATTTCTCAAGTAAAAACCTATAAGGGGAATTGTGGGGGTCAGAAGATAGATGTGTATTTTAACTTTGTTAGAAACTACCTAAGAGTGTCTCAAGGTAGTTGTAATTTCCTAGCATCACTGTCCTCTAACTTTAGGGGAGATGCTAAGAATCAAGATCAGCCCAAGCCTGATTCTGAGGTGGCAGACACGTGGCTTCCACTTGCCAATCTTTGTACTGATTATGACACCGGCCGTCCTCCTGACTGCACACTTGCCTTCTCTGCTGAGCTTGATAGTTCCAGAACTCACAGATTGTACTATGGATTATGTGATTTCTTAACTGGCTACCACTAGGTATCAGGAACAACTTAGAAGTCACAGGAGCAGTTTAGAGGACAAATGTTTGCCATTCATTATAACTTCCAACCCAGACGCTGTCACCTACTTCTCACCTGGGCCCCTCTGCCCCTCTGCCCCGGGCCCTGCTCAGCCAGGTGTTAAAATTCTTGTGTCCACTCTGCTGGGAGACACCTCACTCCACTCGTAAGGCAGTGAACAACAGGTCTGAACCTTTTACTAGCTTGTCCCATCCTCACACTTCCTGACACACTAGAGCCCATTGTGGCAGTCACTGTGGCAGTCCACCTGGTTGAGGTCTTCCTCTCATTGGTCCTCGACCTTCCAAGCCTCAAGTCCTTCTCCAAGGAACAGCCTCTCTTAGCAACATGCCCAAAGTATGTGAGATGAAGGTTCAACATCTTTGCCTCCAAGGAACACTCTGGCTGCACCTTCTCCAAGACATATTTGTTTGTTCTTTTGGCGATCCATAGGATATTCAGTACTCTTCTCCAACACCAAAGCTTAAAGGCATCAATTCTTCTTCTGTCATCCTTATTCATGGTCCACCTCTCAGCAAGTGATTGAAGAGACCATGGCCTGA